TGTTTCACTTAAAATCTAGGGGACTTAACACATTTTAATATTCGCTACATCATTAGATGATGCAACAAATATTAAAATGTGTTAGGTTCCCTAGATTTTGATAATTAAAATGTAATAATTTTGATGATACCACCACTTTTTATTATCCCTGTATTAGACTAGTATCACTTATTTTGTTCTACGTTGTTAATTGTAATGTGCTCCTATATTAGTGATAAAGCACTCATAAAAAGCAAAGGGTACTAAAAAGAGAAGAAACATACCATAAAACAAAAAAGAAAAGAATAAAAAAAGAACAGATACGCAAAAAAAGTTAACTGATATTCTTTTTTTTTTTTTTTTTTTTTTTTTTTTTTTTTTTTTGGTCCCGGTAGGTAAACCACCAAAGTCGGTGGGGCAAACGCCGGGGAACATTTGCCAGGTTTTATTAAGAAAATCAAAAGATACAAATGAAGAGGGGGATTAGACCAAAACCTCTCCAGAGAAGGCATCCCTTCTCCAAAATACAGAACGAAACAAAAATAAGCGAGACTGATTGGGGGGGCTAGACCTGACCCAATCAAAACAAAACAAGACAATAAAATGCATTATAATCTAAAATTAGGCCAACCAAATAAATCCGCATAGTAGTTCTGTTTAGCCCGAATAGGAAGATGATCCACCTGATTGAACATAACTAATTGTGCCTCAATATTACCTGCTACAGCTAAGAAATGGGCCACAGAATTTCCTTCACGAAGTGTATGTTCAAAAATCAGCCTCTTATCCTTAGCCCGTCTTCTAAATGTCTGAAACCGACCAAACTCCATCTCGTTGACATCACCAGAGAACAAGGATATAGAGTTCGCCGCATCTCCTTCCACCTGAAAGTCTACAAAACCCAACTCCATCGCAATTTCACACGCCTTAACCAGAGCACATACCTCTGCCTCATCACTCGTCTGCGCTTGAATCGGAAAGCAAGCTGCCCAAAGAAACTCTCCCAAGCGGTTTCTCATAATCGCTCCCCCTGAAGCAACCTGAGGTAAGAATGATGCATCAACATTTAGTTTGAATTCTTTTCTAGGTCTTTTCCATTTCACCATAGTAGTCCAACAACCTTTAAACCGAAAACCCTGGGGAATCAATTTCTCATGGTAAAGAAAGCTATCAATAACTCTTCTCTTAAGGCCTGAGATTCTAATAGCCCAATTCTGACAGTACAACTTAATTTGCAAGATTAAACTTTCCGGATTTGGAATGGGTTCAGAACCCCAAATTTTTGCTGTATAAGCTTTCCAAATGTGCCAGCATATCACACCCGGAATGTTATGTTTAAACAAGTCTGACAGAGTTTTGGAACCCGCTTCAAGCCACCAAATGACCAGGATTTGTCTGATAGATTGATTATTCCTTGGAAAAGGAATATCAAAAATCTCCATAAAATAAAGCCAGACCTTCTTGGAGAAACAACAACTGAAAAAAAGGTGATTAGTCTGATCACCATGATTGTTACATAGGGGACAAATTGAGGGCTGAATAACCACCTGGAATCTATGCAGATTATCAGAAATAGGAAGGTAGTTATGAACTAACTTCCATAGAAAAACTTTTATCTGAGTATGTTGTTGTTTATTCCAAATATGCTTATAAGTGAAAGTAGACACCTGACACTTTCTAATTGCATTGTATGCAGAGGAAAGTGTAAAATTGCCTTGCTTTTCAGGTATCCACGCCCAATTACCTTCTGGAGATTTGGTGCAAAGCTCAATGGCAGTTTCATGTACAACACAAAGTCTTCTCCAGAAAAACACAGATTTCAGCAGCCAGCTGAAATGCTTGGCAGCCGGCTGAAATCTTGTTTTCCAGCTAACTCATCTGAAATGTAACTCACTCTTCTCTTAGCACAAAAACAAGTAAACCAAAGACCAACTTGCAGTCAAAATAACAAATTGATAAAAATTAAAGTAAATTAATAAGAGATTTTTATCACACTCTAAATTTCTTATAAATTTATTTTACTTAAGTAAGTATTTGTTATTTGTAAGGAAGCATTGAAACATTACTCAGCTTAAATACTAAGTTTCTACGCATAAAAGAAATAAAGATAATTCGTTGATAAGTTTGTATTTCAACACGCATTTGATGCGTGTTGGGGTCGGATTTTATTGGTTTTCCTTGCTTTAAGGTGTTGCAAGTCTCAATTTTAGCTCAAGTTGTGATTACCAAGCGTTGGGTCGAGTTTTGTTGCATTTGAAGTCGAATTGAAGAAGTTAGACATCGGCATTGGCGCTTGAGAGGCAATTGGGAAGAGTTCGAAAGCCTTTAAGAGAGATTTGGAGGTCACCGGGAGATTCACGACGAAATTTTGATGGAGAAAGAGCATTCGGATCGACCTCGTATGCACCCGGGAGCATTTGGAGCAAGGAACGGCAAGAAACGGTGAAGAAAAGGGCAAGCACGACCGTGCCTAGGCCTGGGCACGATCATGCCCGAAGACGAAAAAGAGAGAAGGCTACTGCCAGCCAGGCACGATCGTGCCTCCACCCGAAACGCGCGCATGCATGCTCCGCAGGCACGGTCGCAGGCACGATCGTGCCTGATGTCGTGCCTGGCCGCGATTTGTCCTATTTATCCCGGGATTCATTATTTTCTATAAATAAGGCCTCTATAACTCCGTTTGAAGGTTCGGGAACTTAGAAAGAGTCTTAAGGACGAGTTTTACGTGAGTTTTCCGCTACTTTGTTCAAGACCCTGAGATTCTTTGTAAGTTTCATCTTTTTAAATAATAACAATTTATTCTATTCATCCCAATTTTGTTGATTCTTCAATTATGAATTGTGAGTAGTTTAATTAGGAATTTGGGGTTGATGAAGGGGTTAATTATGATGTATGGCTAGATTCTTGTTGGTTTAATTGCATGAATGCCGTTTAATTTGTGTATGAATAATTTAACTGATATCTCTTGTAACCTAGACTGCAGCTAGAATTACAATTGCATGTAGAATGAATTAAGAGAGATCTAATTTCTTCTAGGACACATTCACACACACTTAATCGTTCGCTGAGATATTAGTAACGATTAAGGGGCCGTAAGCTCGCTCGTTTTGGCCATAATTTAGGATCTTGTCGCATGAGAGATCAGTCTGGTCCCCTAAATTATTGTACTCTACGCCACGAGAGCGGTAAATTAATTTCATGTAATTAGGCCTGATCTGCTAGAAATCTGATTACCCCGGAATCAATCCCTGTTCCCTTCGTCGTTAATTGAGAAGAAACCAATCTTTTAATTTAATCATTTATTCACATTAGTTTAATTTTAATTCACCAATCAATCTCGCACACTTGCATTTTTATTTTATTTATTTTTAATCGCTGAATTTAGTTAATTCTTATTTCCCTTATATCCGTCCCTGTGGAGACGATACTCGTACTTTCAACCACTATTCTACAATCTTTTAACTGCGAGAAAATTCACATCATTCATCTTTATCTATGCATTGAAATGAGAAAACAAGTTGAAGTGAAGATATTTGATCTGTGTCACTACAAGACAAAGAGCAATCATGCTGCCTCAGTCAAGTGGAACAAAGCAAGTAGATAAAGCTACGGTCAAGATTGTTTCCTCAGCCAACAGTGGAGATTCAATGATCAAGTCTATAAATACAGAAGGAGTGTGGGAAGACCAGTGTGGTAAACCGAGAGGAGCCAAGTGGAATAAAAGGGAATCAAATTATCCATGCTCACATCCAGCCAGCTGATTCTCCTTCACCACTTCGGCTACCTCCCCACTCATCTAATGCTCTTAGACTAGCTACAATTCATACAAACCTATAGAGCTTAGATTAGTTGGTAGTTTAGAATTACACCCATGTGATCTAGATTAGTATAAGACATTCTGGGGGGCTTTGTGTTCAAATCGAGAAGGTGAGAAATGTCAAGGAGATGAGTAGCTCTTGGCAAGTCAATGTCATTAGTGAAAATCTTGGGAGGACTGAGTAGCTTGGAATGGTGTTTAAATTCCCTGTGAAAAACCTCACAATCTACGCTAGGGCCAAGGGTAGATTGGGGCACTAAATGTAATGGGATATTCATTTAGTGGAAATCCATCTGAAATAGGTTGGGACTGGATGTAGAAGGATTACACCACCTCTGAACCAAGACATATCTTGTGTCACCTTTTATATTATGCTCCTAACAAACACTTCAGTTCTCACTCACCTTCACAACGTCACAACAAAATAGTTTGCTCACTAAAACTGTCCAATGAACTTTTCCAGCTCACTGTGAGTCAACTCCTAGTTATCTGGTGATCAAAGTGATCTATCTTTATAGGTCTAAATCCTTCATACTTATGTGTCAAGACTAGTTCTAAAGCCTATCAATGTGTTAGAGTATAGTTCATTGCTATACCTTAACAAATTGAAGCAGAAACTTAATTTGAACAGTCTGCTCCTAAAGGTTTTGGCAGTCAACTCCAAGTAGTCTGGCAGCCAGCTCCTTCATATTTCAGCAGCCTGCTCCTTAAGCCATCTGGTTCTGGCAAACACATTTGTACCACGTTTCATCCATCTCCTTACAACTAAAGGGGTCATAACATTTGTTTATAAAGTGTCATATTCTTGAGGTCAAGACTTTCGTTGCATGTGTCAATATCTCCCAAAAGATATTGAAACTCATTCTGTTAGAGGAAAAAGGGCTGAAAAATGAAAAGATTTAAAAGTCTATTCACCCCACCCCTCTAGACTTTTACCTCACTTGGGACCCATCAAAATGTAATTAACATTAAAAAGATAACGTGTCTAACATGACTAACGTGAAATTGTGATTAATATTAAAATGTGACAAATATTAAAATGTGATTGATATTAAAACGTAACTAATACTAAAATGTGACTAATATTAAAATGATGATGTAATAAATATTAAAAATGTGTCTAATATTAATATGATTATGTAACAAATATAAAAATGCATGTAACTAATGTTGATAGGATAATGTATGTAACTAATATGATAATGTGGCTAATATAAAAATGTGAGTAACATGAAAATGTGACAACGTTAAATTAAAATTTAACTAATATTAAAATGTGACTAATATTAAAATGTAACTAATATTAATATGATAGCGCGGCTACTATGACTAACATGAAAATGTGATGAGTATATAATATGATGTTAATAGTATAGATGTATAACTACACTACTGTGAGATGAGTAGTAAAATTTTATTTAATACTTTAATGTATATTACTTAATACTATATATATATATTTAAATATAACTAGGTATAATATATTTAAATATAAGTAGATATTATATATTTCTAACTTTCTATGCTTGGAGCTATAATATTGTATATGAATGTAATAGGATGAAGACATTTGGTTTAATGCGCAGTGCAATGGATAAGGATTAATGTGCATCAGATTGAAAATTTGGACGGCTCGAATTAATTCTCATTTTACACGTTAAGTCTCATTTTTATTTGATCCAAACTCTCTCTCTCTCTCTCTCTCTCTCTATATATATATATATATATATATATATATATATATATATATATAATATAGGGTGAGGTTCAAGTGAGAAGAAGCCTTAAGGTGAGAAATGAGAATGAATCTCAACCGTTGGATTCGTCTATTTTGCAATAAAAACTCTTTATATTGCACTAAAATATGAAACCTAGTTTGGTGGCATTTTCTGAAAAATCCGTATTACAGCCATCTAGTGCAACATGAAGCTGTTTTGGTGCAACGTCGTCAAATTTTAGCGCAATATGAAACAGTTTTAGTGCAACACTGGAAAAAATTAAATCTTACTTCAACATCAAACTATTTTCAGTGCAAAATCGGAAATCCAATGGCTGAGATTCATTCTCATTTCTTACATTAGATGCATTTCTCACTTAAACCAATAAATATATATATATATATATATATATATATATATATATATATATATATATATATAGAGAGAGAGAGAGAGAGAGAGAGAGATCACAAATATGCATTTCTCACTTAATCCAATGGTTTTAGTTTTGCTAGATTCGTCCTTTTGAGTTACTAGTCACGGTGAAAGTGTCAAATAATGGAACAGATTGCTCTCTAAGAAGCCCTGTTAAATCTATTTATAATAAAGAGTTATAATGTAAAAATACATAAATATCCCTAGATCCCATGTTTTTTTGTAATCTGTTTTTTTATTTTTCAATAAAATCTGGTAATTGTCCCCCGGCTTTTACCCCACCGATTTTGTTGGTTTGCCTTCCGGGGTAAAAAAAAAAACAGATTATTACACCCCCTCAAACTGTGCGGGAGGAACAACGTGCAAGTTGTCTTTAAAAATGCATGATAACGATGATAACGTTGACTAAGGAGACTTTTAGTAAAAATATTTGCCAGCTGTAGATGAGTAGGTATGTATTGAACGGCCAAATCACCATGGGCAACATGGTGATGAACAAAATGATAGTCAATCTGAATGTGCTCGATCCGAGAATGTTGATCTGGATTAGCAGTCAAGTATATATGAAGCAGAAATATTATCACACAGCAAATGGACTGGTACCGTGATGGGAAAGCCAAGCTCAAACAACACTGAGCGGATGTGAAGAGTGTCCTGAACTATGTAAGCAATAGCGGATGTATTTTCTGGATCAGTTAACTTGCAAAAATCATTTGACAACCTTCCCGATTGAATTTTTGGCTGAAATTTGGTATGGATGAACTAGACTTGATGAGGAACCTACACAAAAAAATTGAACAAAAAATACCACCGGGAAGACCCCCAAATGGAGGAGGCCGGACGGGGGGAGTGGTCCGGCCTGGCCGGACCTGAATAGTTGTGTGTGTGTGTGTGTGTATATATATATATATATATATATATATATATATATATATATATATATATATATATATATATAGGGGATGAGTTCAAGTAAAAAGTAGTCTTCCCATGAAAAGTGAGAACAAATCTTGGCCTTTAATCACTTGCAAATGGATGGACTAGATGAAATTTAATCACAATACACGTTGTCAAAAAAGTGCAAACGTTTATAATATAAAGTGGATAGATAATGAACAAAAGTGTACTCATAAGTGATAAAAAGATTGTTAATTTGCTTTTAATTTGTGCAGATTTTATTATGTACCGTAATGCACCTTTTGGCTCTACATTTGCACTTTTTGAAATTCCTCGTACACATTTGTTACAATAATTTCATTCAAAGATCATCATAATTACCAAAATGCCACCGCATTTCCAACTTAAAATTTGATCTCTTCCATCCATTTTTCACATCAATGGCCAAGATTAGTTCTTATTTTTCATCTAGGAACCACTTTTTATTTGATCCAAAGTCTATATATATATATAGAGAAAGATCAAATAAAAAGACCCATTTATATGGAAAGTGAGAATTTATCTTAGCCATTAATCTCAACCCTTGCACCTCTTTTACTAGTAGATTAAATAAAAGGGGCTTTAATCATCTGACCTAGGGCTGGGCACGGGCCGAGTCGGGGCGGGTAATACAAAATAAAATGGAACCGCCGGTTTCATTGTACGGTCCGGTCCGGGTATTACAATTTTCAAAATAGGAACCGGAAATTACCCGGCCTGTTTGAAACGGGTCGGTCCGGTCCGGGTTTTACGGTTTCTATTCTCATGTCTTGAAATTAGTAAAAACTCACGAAGTTCCAAAAATCAATAATCAATAATATAGGACATTAGCAAGTTTCAAAATAACAACATAGTTTCAAACAATTAAAGAAAAGTCCAAAAATACTCCATATTTTCTTGTATATAAGTTTCAAACAATTAAAGAAATTCCAAAAATATGCAACATAGCCAAAATACATATTTTCTAACATTTGTATTTAAACATGTTGTCTAACATCACATATTTAAGTGATTTTTTTATATATATTAAATTTTCAGTATTAGCCAAAGTTGACACTTACATGGTGGGTGGTAATTAAACACAATTTAGGCTTTGTTTGCAACCACTTCTGCTTAAATAAAAGCACTTTTGGGAAAAAAGTGATTAGTAGTAAAAGTTGGTAGTGTTTGGTAAAATAAGTGCTTTTTGTGTAATAGAAAAAGTAAAAAGTAGATTTTACACGGAAGTCGAGAAAGTAAAAGTTGGTAGTGTTTGGTAAAATAAGTGCTTTTTTCTTTAAAAAAAAAGCTAGAAGCACTTTTTTTAATGGGTTGCAAACAGACCCTTATATGTTTTAATAACAATATAACAAAAAAATATAACAAAATCGTCTTTAACAAATAATTAAATTCGATAGAAAGGAATAATTCAATAACAATAAAAAGTAAAAAGATATTTATGAAACATTTAATCAATAATTTGAAAACAAAAGTAAAAGGATGTTATTGCAACTCAATTTAAAATCCTACTTCTAGCACAGGAAACAAAACTATTTCAAAACCGATTATCAAAAAACTATAAATAAATTAATATACAATATATATAACGGGCCGGGCCGGGTACCCGTTATTTTTTAATTTTGGAACCGGTCCGGTTCCTTAAAAAAAATTACCCGACCCTACCCGGACCGTTTTATGGAAACAAAAAATGGAACCGGCCCGTTTTGGACCCGAACCGCCATTACCCGGACCGGACCGCGGTTCCAAGACCCGTTTGCCCACCCCTAATCTGACCATTTCAAGTAATTCGTTATTCATGATTGTTCCGCCTCTTCCGCTCATCACGTATCGTCCTTTCTCTCCATAATCATCTTCTGCGCAAACTCCATATATGGTAACCGCTACTTTGAACACCCAAATTTCGTTCTTTGACAAAGGCTCCTGAGCGTTTACTCGAAGTATAAGGAATTTTGTCTGTCGCTGCTTTCTTCCTACAGCAGCAATACGATGGTCCTTGGTAGTTTTTTTTGTATTTCTTTTTATGTAATCCTGATTATTTGTGAGTTCCAAGTATCGTATACGTACTCTATGTTGTTTTTTATTTTCAAATGCTTCATGTAAATCATGAAACATGATGGTATTAATTTTGAGGTAAGATATGTTTATGAGTGTGAAGATATAATTGAGAGTTGAGAGAATTAGAATTTTAGAGTAGAAGAGAATAAGATAATAGAAGTGTAGGAAATTTATGAAAATGGAGAGGTATTTATAGTTTTTTTAACACCACCCCCAAACCCCACCCGTAATGGCTATAGAGCCGTAGCCGTTGCAATGGTTATAACTTATAAGCACCCCCCCCCCCCCCCCCCCGAAAAGCAAAAAAAAGGAACATTGTGACGGGAACCGCCTGGTCCGGTCTCCAAAAGCTAAACTCGGGATCAGGCCCACCTGGTACATGGTGAGGTACTCGATCCTGCATCGGGATCGGTTTTCTTTACCCGGTCCAGTCCCGTACAGTACCGAACCCGATACCGGGCCAGTCCGGGACCGACGACAAGGTCCATGCCTACTCATTGGTACTAAAATTGATAAAGGGGATAAAGGAGATGGTGGCGTGGCTCACTTAGGTAACACTCACTCTCAAGTCTCTGTTTTGTGAGAGATCTAGATTTCAAATTTTATCAAGAAAGATGAGCTGAGAGAGCTCTTGTTGTCTACGATTATCCTTACCTTCATGGCGGAAAACAGAAATGGCGGTAAAGGAGACAGTGAGTTTGTGTAGTGAGAGAAGCAATCTTGTAACAGGTGGTTTTAGTTTTGCTAGATTCGTCCTTTTGAGTTACTAGTCATGATGAAAGTGTCAAATAATGGAACAGATTGCTCTCTAAGAAGCCCTGTTAAATCTATTTATAATAAAGAATTACGGAGTATAATGTAAAAATACATAAATATCCCTAGATCCCATGTTTTTTTGTAATCTGTTTTTTTATTTTTCAATAAAATCTGGTAATTGTCCCCCGGCTTTTACCCCACCGATTTTGGTGGTTTGCCTTCCGGGGTAAAAAACAGATTATTACACCCCCTCAAACTGTGCGGGGAGGAACAACGTGCAAGTTGTCTTTAAAAATGCATGATAACGATGATAACGTTGACTAAGGAGACTTTTAGTAAAAATATTTGCCAGCTGTAGATGAGTAGGTATGTATTGAACGGCCAAATCACCATGGGCAACATGGTGATGAACAAAATGATAGTCAATCTGAATGTGCTCGATCCGAGAATGTTGATCTGGATTAGCAGTCAAGTATATATGAAGCAGAAATATTATCACACAGCAAATGGACTGGTACCGTGATGGGAAAGCCAAGCTCAAACAACACTGAGCGGATGTGAAGAGTGTCCTGAACTATGTAAGCAATAGCGCATTACTCGGCCTCAGTGGATTACTTAGACAAAGTGGGCTGCTTCTTAGATTTTTCCAGGAGATCAGATTAGGCCCTAAAAAACCAACAAAACAGGTAGTAGACTGTAGACTGCGAGCTGTCTGGGCAGTCAGCCTAGTCTGCATCACAATGGGCCAAAACACATACATGTGGGCTTATCCGAAGTCTGAATCCAAATCCCATGATCTTTTGTCCCCTGCAAGTACCTGAAAATCCTCTTGACAGCAAGACGATGAGTAGTACGAGGAGCATGCATGAACTGAGAGACTAAGTGTACTGCATAAGTAATATCTGGTCGGGTCAAATTTAAATACTGTAACGTACCTATGATGCTGAGATACTCAGTGGAGCATGACAGACTGACAGTAACTCCCCACAAGTGAGGGGTAGAGTAGTGCGAGAAGCAAGAGGGGTACAGACAGATTTAACAGTATGCAGATGAAAACGGGCAAGTACATCAGACACGTATTTTTGTTGAGACTGAAATAAGCCTTTAGGGCTGTGAATAGCCTCTATGCCCAAAACATAATGTAAATTCCCCCGATCTTTCATGGCAAAACGATGAGAAATGAGAAAAATAAAGTGACTAACCACATACGCAGAGGTGCCAGTAATAATATCATCTACGTATAAAAATAAATAAATGATAGAATTGTTATGGTGATAAATAAATTAAATAAGGAATTATCCGCGTTACTGCAAAAAAAAAATTATGGAGTAAAAAACTACTAAATCAGTGAAACCACGCACGCGGTGCTTGCTTGAGACCATAAATGGCCTTGCGCAAGGGAAATACGGAGTATATCATTGGGAAATTTTGGATGAACAAAACCGCGAGGTTGATACATATACTTTTCCTCTGTATGATGACCATGAAGGAAATCATTTTTAACATCATGTTGGTCTGGTATGAAATGGTCCAGTATGATAAATGTTTGGTCTTTAATTTGTGTATTTTATAACTATGGAAGTCTGGTATGATATGATCTGATCTGGTCTATCTGTTTAAGTCTGGTGTGATCTTATCTGAGACTGGAAACAGTCAAAGTAAAAACATCCTTAAAGGCACTGGATATTACTTATCATGTATATGGACTAAAAATAATCATATTTCTAATAATCTTTTACCATTGAAACTATACACAAAATAATCAGAAACAACTTTTTTCTTGTTCATACAAGTAATACAATCATGAACCACAATTACGAGCTATTGTTAGGCATGCTAATGGATCAGAGTGAGTTGGGTAGTGCAAGACCTAGACCCGCTCATGACTTTATCGGGTGGATTCGTCCCGCCACATGACCCGCACTGGTCATTAGATATTGACACATAACCCACTTACCCCGACGTAACCTAATTAGCTAGTACGCAGTTCTAACTTGAATTTTACATAAACTTTATCCCCAAATAATTATAAAAAAATAAAATAAGTTAAAACCAAAGTCACAACACAATTTTTGAATATAATCAAAGTCACAATACTATGAAAAGTTTCAAAAATTAAGGGAAAACGATCTAGACGTGAATAATTAACTATATATATATGGTCAAATGAATATGTAAACGCTAAATATAAAAAACACATTGAGAATAAATGGTCCATCTCGTTCAAAATGTAAATATTAGGAATACTACGTACTACTACGTATATTATAAGACCAAATAATTCATGAATTATTACTCACCCATTTATATGTATGTATACATACACTTGTAGTATTCCCTCCGTATCAAAATAAGTATCACACATTCCTTTTTGGGAGCCCGTTTGGTAGCACCAAAATCGGCTGTTTTGGCTGATTCTGCTGAAATTTATGATATTCTGGCTGGAGTGGCTGTTTTGGCTGATTCTGCTGATTTAAGAAAAAAATATTTTAAAAATATATTTTATTAATAAATTAAAGAAAAAATTATATGTAAAAATAGCTAAAATGGTCCTCTACAGTAACTTCAGCCAATACAGCCAGAAAAGTAACTCCAACCTTACTTTTTCGGCTTATTACACAATTCAGCGCGCGAAAGTAAAAATTACGTGTTTGGTGAAAAAGCTGGCTGATAAGCCTGATAAGCCGAAAACAGAGTTCTCCAAACGGGCTCTGGGTGTATCAAAATAATTCTATACTCCGTATTTTGGAACAAACCCATCATAAAAGTAGCTACAATGTACTCTGTACTTTAATAAAGTAAACAGTGCTGCTAGTACCAAATATCTCTTACTTAAAAAAAAAATTTAAATATATAAATTATCTTAAACTACGTGAAAAGCTAGTGAGACACTTGTTTTGATCCGAACGGAATATAATCTTTTAAAAAGGTCTATATTAATATATTGAGCGGGTCATCTCGGGTCAACACTGATACGAAGACCCGCGTCATTGTGTGTACGGGGCGAGGCGGACCCACTCTATTTTCAAGATAGGACGGGCCAGACCGGACTTGTCCCAAATATGTTGGGGTGGGGCAGGTCTCTACTGGTCAGTTTTTTGTTTTTTTTACATGCCTAAATGAGAGTGACCGAACCGCCTAAATCATTACTCTATTCTTTATTTAGTGTTCCCTTAGTTTTTTTTTGTGATTTTATGAAGAAAAAAGTAGAAGTAATATAGAGGGGTAGGATAAATGAAAAAATAGGGAAAAAGAATATATGAAAATGAGGAAAATAATATAAAGTAGGAATAGAAAGTAATAATTTGTTAAAAGGGAAGATATAGGGGTGTTTGGTCAGCAACTTTTCAACCATTTTTTGGCTGTTTTGATCATATTTGGCCTTTTGACCAAATCAATCAACTAATAAAAGTGTTTGGTTAAATAGTTTTTCAAATTAGCCTTTTGTTCCAAACAGCCAAAAAATAAAACGTCATTATCCCTAGCGTTTACAATTAGCATTTCGTAACTTTACTACACTACCCTGTATTTTCCGTATCTCTCCTATGCTCAGCAGAAAAAAATTCCGCTGAAGACCAAAAATATAATTCCCCTAACCTAAATCTTCTTCTGTTTGAGAGCTAAAAAAAAACAATGCAGGCCCCAAGTGGCCATCTGTCATATACGGAGTAGTTAGTTATTTGATCCCGCTCCAAAAAATGAACGATATCATAAAAATGAGATACCGACTTAGGTTGCCTCATCTGTTGTGTTCATCTCATATGAAAAATTGCTATCACTTATGAATTAAAAAAATAGAGGTTTAAAATATGGAGTAATTATTAGTTGTGTTAAAACATACTACCTCCGTTCCATTTATATTGGGACGGAAGAGGGTGACACGGTTATTAAGAAAGTGGGTTTGTGTGGTTGATATTAATTGATAAAGTAAGAATAAAGTAAGAATGATTTAGAGCCACACAAACTTTGCCAAATATGGTATGAGACAATTTAAGTGAGACTTCCCGAAAAGGTAAAACGAGACAATATAAATGGGACGAAGGGAGTATTGACGTTTTTAATCATGAATAGGATATACTCCCTTCGTCCCAATTTGATGATCCCATTTCTTTTGGGCTCAAAGATTAAGGAAGTGCTTGAAAAGGTAAAAGTTGTGGTTGAGATTTGAGTAGAAAAAGGTGAAATGAAGTGGACCACATATTTCTTTCCAAAAAGGGAAATGAGACTATCAATTTGGGACGGCCCAGGAAGGAGATACGGGATCATCAAATTGGGACGGAGGGAGTAAAAAGGATTTATGCAGTAGTACGAATTACATTAGTAGAAAAATAATTGATGTCCTAAAATGTCATTTTAATATGTTATCAGCTAAATATAAACATCTATTTAACCAAACACCATTTTATAAACTGCTAATATTATCTTCTAATTTAAATAGCCAACAGAATCTACTATCATCAATCAGCTAAGACAATCAGGTAACATCCAACGGCTAACAGCCGACTGCCAAACACCCCCATAAAAGAAAGAGAAAAAAATTAATTAATAAAAATCACAAAATAAATACGAAATATTTATTGAGTAATGGAGTATATACTACGAAGTTAATAATTTTTTCGGGAGAGATGTAAAATTGTAAATATATGCCCCTTATCTATATGTACTCTCTCCGTCCCTTATAACTTTGTCAATTTTTCATGTACTCTCTCCGTCCCTTGTAACTTTGTCAACTTTCCTTTTTCGGATGTCCCATTAACTTTTCAGTTTCCCTTTTAAGTAAAGAATTTGTGGTTCCAGTTAATTCTCTATCCTCTTCACAAAAATTTATACCCCTTATCTCCATGTACTCTCTTTTAACTTTGCCATTAACTTTGTCATTTTTTCTTTTAAAATCACATAAATTTATGCCCCTTATCTCTATGTACTCTCTTCGTCCCTTATAACTTTGTCAATTTTTCCATTTTGGATATCCTATTAACTTTGTCACTTTCCCTTTTAAGTAAAGAATTTGTGGTTCCAGTTAATTTTCTATCCATTGCACAAATCTCAACCACACAATTTTTACTTTGTTAATCTTCGTGCTGATCAAATTTGACAAAGTTATTCGGGACGGAGAGTACTTAACATTTTTGAATTTTTAATATATTTACGGTTCATAAAAAAAATAGGAGTAGCACTTGTGAAAGAAAATCTGCGGGAATTGTTTTTAGCATTAATGTTAAATTAAATAGAGGTGGCTGTGCATATTATAGAGTCATAGAGATGGTCTGCAAGTTTGTGAATTGTTGGGTTAGACTTACTTTGAATGGACGGGAGGTTACGCTGTCCCTCATACGTCCATCACTACCATCTTCTGTTCAACGTAGATACGGAGTACACCCCAACCTTAACTTTCCAATTTAATGCTATCCTTTAAACACACTTCCAAATGGGGCAAGAGTTCCTCGCCTACCCATCCATTTTGACTGATTCCAAAAATCGGTTGATTTAGCCGATTTTGCTGAAATCTATGAAATTTTGGCTGAAGTGGCTGCATTGGCTGATTCTGCTGATTTAAAAAAAAGTTATTTTTAAAATATATTTTATTAATAAAATAAAGAAAAAATTATATGTAAAAATAGCTAAAATGGTCATCTACAGTAATTTCAGCCAATACAGCCAGAAAAGTAACTCAAACCTTACTTTTTCTACTTATTACACAATTCAGCGCGCTAAAGCAAAAGTTACGTGTTTGGTGAAAAAGTTTGCTGATAAGCCTGATAAGCCGAAAAATTGTGTTGGCAAACGGCCTCTAAAAAGGGGTTTAATGTAATATATCCGTTTAAAAATGCGTCAAATCTCGTTGTATTATTGACGTT